GGGACTGCCCCTGTGTCCCTGTCCCTGTCCCTGTCCGTGTGGGAGCGGGCTGCGGGACTGCCCCTGTGTCCCTGTCCCTGTCCCTGTCCCTGTCCGTGTGGGAGCGGGCTGCGGGACTGCCCCTGTGTCCCTGTCCCTGTCCCCGTGGGAGCGGGCTGCGGGACTGGCCCTGTGTCCCTGCCCCTGTTCCGTGGGGCGGGCTGCGGGATTGTCCCTGTCCCTGTCCCTGTCCCTGTCCCTGTCCCTGTCCCTGTTCCTGTCCCTGTCCCCGTGGGGCAATGTAGCGTCCAGAGCTCCTGCGGAAACATGGGCTCGTCACCCCTTCCTCCTGCACGCCCGGGGCCAGCCAGCAAACCTGGTTTGTTGGCATTTCAGAGACCCACGGGAACCCGTGCTGAGGTGTGGTGGCACGGGATGGTGGCTTCTGTGGTATTCCAATATCAAAGGTGGGGTTTTACCCCTTCCATACAGTGGAAGCACACATTCTTTCAGCTGTTCAATGCAAACAAATTAACAGTTTGGCACATACAGATGTAATACGTCCCTGAAAAGGCTAAAAGCAACGGCCTCTGTGCTCTGGGAAGGCTGTAGCTCAGCAGTAAGAGAATTCATACAGGGCTGTTAAATGTGTGAGTACTTGGGGAAAGTGTCATTATGTGCTTGACGTGTTGAACTTTTCTCTAGGTGTCTGTCCATGCCCACTATCAATGACTGGATAGCTTCATTCTTCCTGCCCCATGGACCTTTGGTCTGACCCAGTGTAGCAATTATTTTTTTCTTAAATCTGTATATATTTTCTATATGCATATAAAACATTGAGGATAAAAATTATTTTAGCATTTGCAGTCATCTCTGATGTGGTTGTGAACCTGTGTGTATATATATTGGGGAATCTTGCAGAGTTAATATGTAAATGTATTTGCGCCATCAAAGAATAATTGATATGTGTTTGTCTTTGCTGTATTATGGCATGGCACTCCAGAATTACTTGTTATATTGGCATTTGTTTCAAGAACTTGGCAATCTTACGGGGGCTAAAAAATCCAGAGCGCAGACCAAGGCCTTACGGATGGTCGCATGCTGAATAAATGTTGCAGGCCGAGTCCTGGTTCCTCTCTGAAGACTGAATTGCTTCACAGCACAGTTCTCATAAACATCAGTTTGGTGAGCTGCAGAACTGGTAGCATCTGGTTTCCCTTTGTGTTCCTGTCATACACCTGACGTTGAGTTGTGTGCAAGCCTGAACAGAAATTGTCCTCTACCTGGGGCGTTCTCAGGCAATGTCTAACAAGGGTGGAAGCACTGCTGCACTGCACTCTCCTGTAACCAGCTGCCTAGTTCTGCAAAGTGTGTAGGAACTCATTCAACTGAGTTTTTTTTTGGTAAGCAGTCAATTTCCCTGTCCCTCACTTTTAAATCAAGTCTGAATTCTAGCAATTCTTCCTTCAAAACAGCTGTCTTGGCATACACAAGTATTTTTAAAATTGACTGAAAGACAATAGTGCTCACATCCTTCATGACAGCTTCTCTCTGGCATGGTAGCCACTCACCCTAATTGTGTGTGTTTGTTAAGTCAGCTTTCATGGAGTTAAGATCATCTATTTTTAATCATGTAAAAAGTAAGTGTCCATTCTGCATTAGCTGCCTAATGTTCCACAAACACAAGACACGTGCTATCGAGGGTGACTCATCCTCTGACAAAGGTACTTTTAGAGAGAGAAACCTGATCTCCTCCTCCTGAATATGAGGAAAGGTTTTGGCTGCCTTGCTGCAGAATCCAATAGGTCTTTGGTGATCCCTGGTCCTGTGGCACACGCTACTTAACTCTAATATAAGCAAGAACAGTTGTACCAAATCAAACCAAGCATCCTGCGGGCTCTTCTGCCTCAGATACAAAACCCCTTGTGTGCTGAGACCACAAGTTCTGGCTTCTCCTCCACCAAGTCAAATCTCTTACCTGGTACCTTGGTGCCATCAAGAAGTGCTGAGGCCTCTCCTTGGTAGTTTGTTTTCTCTCTCCAGTCTCCAGTTTCTTGATTTTTGACAATTTGGCCTTTACACCCTCTTGCATTAATGTTTTTCTCTCCCTTGTAATCCCTTGATTTCTTCCTGCTTTCTTTTATCTTAGCTGTTCTAGGGAAGGCTTGAGAGCTTTTTTTGGATTAGACTAGTTGGAAGGTAATATTGTCTGAAAATAAATGCCTAAATAAATGTGTAAGAACAAGCTAAGTGTTTGTTATGCTTCTTTCAGGTACATCACCTATTTGCAACACAGGAACTCCCTAAATTTGCCTTTCCAGACTTTAGAGTGTACTGAGAGTCTTGGACTCCATGTTCCCTGATGATTACCAAAGCGAGACTGCCGGAAGAGGGGAGCATGCTGGCAGAGCCACGCCTCACCTGAGTGACTTGAAGAAGCTGGAGAGTCATGGAGCTGGGATGAGTTCCTTAGGCTAGACAACAAACATTACAAATGCCATGCCATATGCAATATCACTATACATAATATGTAAATTGAAAAAAACAGATGTTGCAAAGCAAGCTGTCAGTATGGTAGAACCAAGTTATTGTTTTTGCAGCTATTAATCAACCTGCTTCTGTATATTCATTCCAACAAATGTGCCTGACATTGACTTCACCTGGGAGACCTGTAGGAGAGCTGGGGCTGACAGCTCTCCTGGATTTGCCAGTGCCAGAAAGACAGCGATCATATTGTCTGGTGTTCTGCATCATGCAGTGGGTGTTAAATTTTGTGTGGTGAGTTTAACCAGCAGTGCTATAGAATGGAAAGTATAAGGACAAATCCCATTAACCTATATAAAATAACTATAACTATATAAAGACAAAATTAACTGTAAGTGTTACAGAGCAGCTCCTCTGGCTGCCATTTGGGTGACATGAAAGGAATCATCAAGGTAGTGGTTTTGCCCCTGAGTGGTTATCATCTCTTCTAGAAATTGCCATGCACAGCTTAAGTTCTTTCCTTTTATAAACCCAGGAGAATAGCATCTTCTATTGGCCAGTGTTAGGAACAGGATATTATTATATGAGAATGGATTTTGGCTCACTGTTCTTTTTTTTTTTGCTTGAACAATAAAACCTTTAGCGGTTATAAGAACTGAATGGGACTGTACTGAGATGCTGTGCACTTCAGAGTGGTCTGTGGGTTTAGCTCCTTTTAAAAGGTCTTTTGTGGGGTAGGATCCATACTTTGTAGTGCTCACATATCACTTAACAAGTGTTGCAGTTTTTGTGAACACACCATAAGTCATGAAACTTAAATATGGTATGTAGACTTGATATGTAAACAGAGCTATTTCAGTGCTGCCTCGGTTTGTAAATGGACACACACACACACACTAGAATATCAGGAGCCTAATGTATACAAAACAAAATAGTTCTGACCAGTGGTAGAATCTGCTCTTTCCCTCCTATTAGCTAGTTGGAAAAAAACATGCCTGTGATTTTAATATGGGCTGCAATTAGATGTGCACATTAGAATATCTTCCTTTCATTCCAATACCAAACAAAGCTTTTTTTTTGATTATTTTTTGCATGTTACAGTTAAAAGTAAGTGTTACAGATATTATTGACTTCAAAAAATCTTTTGTGGATTGGCTCAGCATAGTAGAGACTAATTGCCTGCTTGTAATGCAACAAGTTTTCTTTCCACGCCCACAATATTTATAGGCCTTTCACCATTTGTAATGATTTACTACTTCATTTGACCTCTTTTCCAAAGTGCTACAGCCAACAACAACAAAAAAAATCTGTTTCTTGTTTCCTCTGGCTGTTTCACCATTCCTTCTTGTTTTGCATATCTACTTCTTTTACTAGGGTCTCTGTTAGCCTTCTCTATCTAGGTAGCTGTGTCTGTCCTGCAGTGCTTGCAAGTGTTCTGCTAAAGATCTGCTGAATTTTGCCTGGGATCAGGATATTTAGGGAAGTACACAGTATGCTGACCTGTAGTCTCTGACATGTGCCTACTTTGTTGCTCAGCCTAAACTGTGACATGGTCTTGCATATGCATTCCAGGAACAGCACATTGTTCTAACTGGTAACAAAACACACGATTCACATGCTTTTGCTAGAGCTGCTTCCTCTTAACCCTAAAGCTGACTTTTTGTTAATTACATTTTCCTCCCATGGAAACATGGTAAACAGTCTGGGACTGCAGGTTGTTCATATAGAAAAGCAGATGATGAGGTTTGACATTTCACAGGAAAAAGAGGTCTGAAGATTTATAACAACGTGCTTCATTCACTGTTCTGTTCTTGATTTTTTTAAACTCTAAAAATAATAGTCATGTACCCTTAGGAAGGAGGTAGGGAAGTCTTTTTCAGCAGTGAACAGACTGTTGAGTTATAGTAGCTTACCTTTTCTCCTGGTGGTTTTTCTCATTAAAAAAAAAATTAATTACCCAGATATACCAAAACTGGGTAAAAAACCCTTTCTTAGATCACTGTGTGTTGAAATTAAATTAAAAGCAGTGGGAAAAATTAATACCAGAGGTTGAAATAGTTTGCTTTGTTCTCTTATTCCCATCCTCATGTTATGTTTTTGTTTGTTTGTTTGTTTTTCAGGTTAAAAATCTTAAAATGTATGGGAGATGGTCAGCTTTCTTGTTTTATTCAAAGTCTGGTTTCCATCATGAAAGCCTGCGAAACTTGAAGGATATAGGTTCCGGTCACAAGAATGCAAAGCAGTGATCTATTGTGTCTTTTCTTCTTTGTGCTCTGGAGTTTAACCAGCACACTAGTCTAATATTCTCTTGCTTGCTAGTGGCAGTTTCTGTTTCTTTTTTGTTTTGGTTTTTTTTGGTAGTGGTAGTCATTAGATTTTCTCCCAAGAGAATTACTGCCAAAGTAAACAAACATCTTCATGGAAGGAAAATAATGTCTAGAGTATTCAGAATTCCATGTTTTACAGATGAGTATTTGTGGCAACCAACTAGCGAATTAAAGTGAATGAAATCCTTTTTCTAGTTTGCTACTTTTGCTGTGCTAATTGAATGTGACAATTTCTGCTAGCTTCTCAGCTCTGCAGTGCAAGTACTGGATGCCAGTTATAATTTAAGATTAAGAAAAATATGAGATGAAACTTGGTTTAAAAAAAGATTTTATTTTTTATTTTTATTGGTGGGAATTGAATAGTACATGTAAACCTCCAAGGAATTGCTGTTGTCTCTAAAGTGTTCTGCATGTGGTTGGCAAGAAAAACAAGGAGAGAGGAAAGTTCAGCTAAAAAATTCATAAAGGCTGTCTGGTGGAATGCATTACAGTCATCTGTATACCTCTGTGCTCTTATCCCTCTGAACTGATAATTTTTAGCTGAGATGAAACGTTCTGACAAACAGGAGGCTGGCAGATTTGCAGCATAGATTGTTTGAAGGTTTAAATACTGTGACTATCTCAGCTTACTGCAAGTCTGTAGATATAATGTAAGCTGGAGTTGCTGAAAAGTGATAGAATAGCTCATATGAACAGCCAAAAAACCCTGTAAAGAGCTTTTATTGTGTGCTTCAGAATTCTGCAGTCTTTCTCTATCTTTCTACAGGATAGCAATAATTCACCAGTAGAGCAGAGACACTTCAAATTTGTTGACGATGAGACCATATCTAGTTCTTTGTTTAGGCAAAGGCTTTCACAAAGGGGACCAGTGGTAACTGGGAGCTGCTGCCAACACCATCATATGTTTCTTGACAAATGCAAAGTGTTCAAAAAGTTGGCACTACAAAATAGAGATACTGTCAATCTTTGTTTAATTCTCAAAATGGCTTTTAAGCTTTTAAAGCTTGTGTTGTTGCTGGCACACTTGCATATCAGATAACATTTTTGACAGTCCTTATAATATGGCTGGTTAATTTGGTCACATTACTAGAACATAAACCAAAATTCTGTGAGTGCTAAGATTTTACTGCTGGTTTTTCCTACGTGCCATGAGCAGAAGAAGGGTATGTTCAGCAGTGTGTGCTACTATAGCCAGAACACAGTATTTTCTTATCTCCTTTTCTCTGCACCATGCAGATGCAGCTGCCACTGTTTATCAAACATGAAGGTGTTGTTCACAGCTCTGTGAGTAAGTTTGGGTTTTGCTTTACATAATGCAGGAGACATCTCTACTAATTGCACAAATGTTCAGCCCATATTTATGTACTGGATATTGTGGTGTAGGAGGCAAATTAAAATTTTAAGGTATTATTTCTGTGATCATTGGCTAGGTCTCCAGAAGCTCATGGACCTGGATTTTGCTGGGAATAACTGTGTGGTGCTTCCAGTTATAGAATAATCTGTTCTGAAGGGTGGAATACTCCAGTGTGAATGCATGTAGATGAGGTAGGAGACCCAAGGAAACTCTGTAAATTTTTGGGCAAGGAGGCTTTGAAGTAGCAGTCATGAGTCCTGCAGGTAGCCCTGATCTCAGGTGCAGCAGGAGGAAGCAAGTGTCTGTAGCTACTAGGTCTGCCCCCCTGGAGGAAGTGTACAGATCATGTAGCAACTTAAACAGAAGGAGTATATGTTTGTACCTCAGCAGGCTATTAAAAAAGTGCTTTCAACTGCTACAAGAAAATTTATTAAAGCTTACTTATTAAACTCAAAGCAATAGAAGAACAGGTTCCCCTTCTGAACCATAGCATCTGTGTTGTACAAAAACCAAAGGCAGCCTCTCTGATTTATATGTGAAAATATATTCTCTTGTACTTGACCTTATTTTCTCTTTGAGTGTAAGACGGATGCTCACTAGTTTTACACCACCACCCACTGCTTCAGTAAGATTATTTTCAACAGATTCTGCAAGAAATTTTCTGCTTTAATTAATACGGAATTATCTCAGAAATTACCAGTGCAGACTCTTCAGATTTAGCATAGAACTAAAATTAGTCAGTCTAGAGCAGAAGAAGCACAGATTAAAATTTAAAAATACATTAACCATATAATTGTGAGTAATTATGATGATATATCCAGTAGTCAAGATGGGGTCAACAGTGCTGGGCCGGCCACACGGGATATCAGAGTTTAGCTAGTCAGGAGCAGCCAGCCTGCTTGAAGGGTAGGATTTCTTTCCCATTTGCTGAGGGCATGCAGCTTCTTTTAGGAAATGCTCCATTATCCATGGCTGGAATGATGAGACTTGTCTAGTGATGAGGCTGTCCTTCTGGGGGGAAAAGGGGCAGGCCTGGATGCAGTGCAGAATTGAACTCAGCTCTGCCATACAGCAAATGAAGGCTCTCTCAACACTTGGCTGGTTTTAGTCATGTCCCAGCTTCATGCCTTCCCCACCCCTGGCTTTTTGCTTGTTTTTTAACCTACTAAGTTATATTTCTGAACAGTGTATAGTGACTCTACTGAAGCTTTCACTTATTTTCCTGTGGGTCTCCCTCCTCCTTCTAAATATGCCTAGCTCTAGATGGGACTCAGAAACAAGAAATCTTGAGTTCTCCCATAATAATTTACATGTCTGATCTGATGATGAATTGTAAATCAGTTAAGCTTCATGACTTTTGAACATTCATGCAATTATGATACAAAGACATTGAAAAGCAATATGCTAATTTTGCCCCATATATTTTGGTTACTAAAGGTCATATTATCCACATGATTATTTCTTAATGCTCATGTATAGCATTCTTAATAATTGTAAAGAAAAGAAATCAAAGAAAAATTCTTTGCCAAGAAACTATACAAAACCTAAACATATTAGAATATTAATGCTAAAATATTTTAGAAGTCCATTAGCTATAAAAAATAATTGAAACCTAGAAAATGTAGGGAAAATATTGCATTTCAATAAAATGAAATATATTAAAAAATAAAACACACAGTTGAATGTCATCCAGACAACCTTAATTTGCTTCTGTAATGAGAACTTGAGGGAAATGTTGAGTTAAATTTAGTTTATTTCAGTAGATTCTATTTTTTTAACCCTTTATGCCCATATAAAAAAAAAAAATTTTGGTAGGTTTTATCTAACCGAGTGCTGGAAGTGCTTTCTAACCACGTAGCTACAAGGTGAAGGAACTAAGGAAAGAGCAGAATTGTTGCCTTCATCTTTTTCACAGAGAGTACAAAACCTACTGAAATTTTGTCATTTAGTCTCTCATTATGGTACTGAGAGCTCAGATCCATTTTTATGCAATGGCACAAAACAGTTTGCTGCTTAAGTATATCTTGCAGAAGCTGAGGAACATCTACACCACAAATCAATTGTATCCATGATATTAAGAGGGAAGATGACATAGATCTTTAAAAATTCCCAAAACTTGACAAATGACCTTGAGTAATTGTGATATAATTTTGGGTCAGTGTGCTTTGACTGGTGGTCAGTCAAAATGCATCAGAGATTTGTTTTCACAGCTGTAATAATTTTTTTTTGTGTTCATGCTTATAGCAGGTTGTAGCTAAAGAGCAGAAAACCTCATAAAATGTCTACATTAGGAAATCAAAGGGCTTTTCCTTTCTGTCTTTCCTCCCAAATAACATCTCTTTTTTTCAACATTGAAAGGTCGTCTTTATTAGAGGAAATTTACCAGAGACTAGAGTGGTATAATTATGCCTTGTGGATGCTTTTTAATCTTGCATGAATGCCTGTAGAATTCTAGTGTCCACTTGGGGAGTTATACCATCAGAACTATAGGGGCATAATTACACAGGTGAATTCTGTATTGAGACAAATGCTTTATGAAAAGGAATTTTATTTTTGCTCTTTACTTTTCAGCTTATTCATGTTCTGAACTAAAAGGAGGTGATCAAATCAATGAAAATAATGAAAATTCAATGGTTACCAAGGGCTGGGGAAATTGGAAAGTAATAAATATATATGTTTCCTGATAACACTCATGTGTGTTTTGGTTTTTATTCTCTTGCCAGTGTTTGAGTTTGTGAAGGGTTTAGCGAAAGGTCAATAAACAAGCCTTGTTCTTTGCTGAACCTCATAAACTAATATGTGTAATAGCTAAACACTTGTAGAATATTAGAGATTCTTAGCTTCCATAAAAAGCAGATGGGGCTTCAGGCAAGTAGGACACTGGAGAATTATTTGAATACTTTTTAGTCTCTGTAGAACCTCAGCAGTTAACACTGATCAAATCAAACATTGAGTTGCTATATATGAATTTTCATACATCCCAGTCAAATTGTAGTTCCTAAATATGTGAGTCCTAGGACAGTAGTCAAAATGTTCTCTACAAAAATAGCCCATTTACATGAAAATAACTTTTGGTAGGTCAGTAAGGGTGTAGTAACACAAATAATTATTTACAAAATGTTCTTAGAGTAAATTACAAGCATGTCTCAGTGTAATTGCTGCATAGACTTTAAGAGAAGAAGAGCTCAATCATTTTGGTGATGTAATCCAGTCCAGCCTTAGCACTGACCACAGAGCATCACACTGTATGTCTTGCTTCAAGACCAAGGTGAACTTCATTAGAAAAATGTGTCGTTCATATTTAAAGAATTCAGAGAACAAAGAGTCCATACCAACACTCCCTGTTCATGTGAAGTGTTTTATTTGTGGTCTGAATTTAGCTTTGACTTGTTCAGTCTTTGCAGGGTTAAAAAAGCCTTTAGTGCTGGACAGTATTCAATGAAAACATTTGAAGGCTGGGATCAAGGTATCTCAGCCCTCTTTAGTTGTGAAGCAAATCTCATTGACGCACTTTAGTTTCTAACTGTAAGGCAAGGTTTCTGTATCACCAGTTTTTCTTGCAGCTTCTTTCAAGTTTTCAAACATCTTTCTTAAATAAGGACATCAGTGTTGTCAGTAGTGGTATTACTAATGAGAGAATTACAGCAAGAGCTAACAAAAGCATGCTATTCTTGCTGTATTTGAAGCATGGAGAAGATTTTTTTCGTATTTATCATCATAAACCTTTTATGAGAGACACTTTGCAAGGGCCTCCATTGAATAATATGTTTTCAAGGCAAGCATATTAGGAGATAGCAAAGTGATACCTTGCTGTGATAACCAGAATATTTGGGTTTGCCCTGGGTAGTGTTGCACACAATGGAAGTGCTTCTCTCCTGCTTCATATTTTTTTATCTGCTATTATTTATTTTAGAGTTGAAAATACAGCCTTCAGTCTTGTAAATACTGTTGATTTTTTTTTCAACATGTGTAACTGATATTTTTATCATTAATGAAGCATACATCTGTCATTTTAAGTAAAGCAGTTTACAAGGAAGCATGGCTGTGCCATTTTTTTTATTTCCTATTTTTCACCTGTAGAATTTCCAGGTTTTTCATCAAAGCATATCCCTGTATGTTCACCTAATATATTCACCTGAGGTAAATGAGTAGAATTAGTCCAAAAAAAAATCTTTCCTATGAGCTGACTATCGAAAGATTGCAAATGGAAGATGAGTCTGGTTTTGATTACCAGTAGAGCTCTGTTATTTATTCTTAATTAATGTAGACTAGAGGTCTTTGCATGGTGTCATGAAATGGTTTGATAAGTGTTTTAGAGGGATAAAAGTATGTGGGTTTGCATTTTTACCGCATCACTCTGCAGCTGTTTTAGGCCTGCTGTGCAAGCACACTGAAACATAATATTTAAATTTCTTTTTAGTTAGCAATAGTTTCCAGTCCTGTACTGTTTTCTCCAGAGCAGGCTGTGTGCTAGGCGTAGTAGAGCCTTAGCTAGAGTATCTGAGGAACTTTTTTGGTGTTCTGAAAATAATGAGATCAATTTTATTGTGTTTGGGTGGATTTGTGCAAGGGACAGCACACTGCAGACAAACTTAGAAAAGGGAGCAAGGAAGCCCGTCAGTCTGAGGTCTGGTCTCAATGTGACCCTGAGAAAAAGGTGATTGAAACTGTGAGGATGGAATCTGTCTCCTGCTGTTTGCTTCCTACTGTGTTCAATGAAACAGCATATAATATATATGGTTTGTACATAAATAGAACTGCATTGAATAAATGCCCATCAACAGTTCAAGGTGCAACATACAAGACATCAAAAATCAGAAAATTTTTTGTGTATTTACTGACCAAGTTTATAGCAGTATCTTAGAAAGCCCTCAGTGAAGGTGAATGGAGACAGAAGACAGTGATGAAATTTAACTAAAACTACACAGCAAGTCTGTTTTTCTGTCTGGAGTTCTAACTGAAAATTAGGTATTTCTAGCAGCACTGAGAATTTTTGTTTGCATTGTGTTTCTAGTCAGAACAAAACCTTGATAGTTATGGAATAATATAGAAAAACCTGGTGTGGAAGGGAGCTCTGGAGATTATCTGCCCTAGGCTCTTGTTGAAAGCAAGACCCTCAATGAGATAATCAAGGGCCTGTCAAGGCCAATGAGTTCCCCACTTCTCTGGGTAAACTGCTCAAAGTTCAGTTCCTCTCATGATGAATAATTTCTTCTTAAACAAAAATGGGTTTCCCCTGAAGCAGCCTATTGCCTTGTGACACTGGGCATCTTGCTGAAAAGAATCTCTGTCATCTTTGTAACAACAATTTAAGTGATAGAAAATGGTGTTCAACCCTCAATTGCATCTTCTTCATGCTGAACCAACCTGATTATTTCAAGTTTTCTTCATCCGTCAAGGTCTCCAGTCCAATGATCAGCTTGATGGCCTTCTGCTGGATTATCTCCAATTTTTAGCATGTTTTTTTAGCTAAAAGGACCAAGACTGGACACAATATTCCAGGTGTAGCCTAGTAACCGGTGAAGAGAATGCAATTGCTATGTTCGTTTTGTTTGTTGGCTGCAGACATACTGAGGAAGCCTACGACACCAGCTGCTTTCGTTCCTGCAACAGCACCAGTCTGGCTTGTGTTCAGCTTGTGATCCCTTTACCCTCAAAAATACTATTTACTTTGTGACTACATATAAGGAAAGCAATGAACAGAAGTTCACAAAGCTTCTGGAAGAAAAGAGTTTTACCCTAAAGCCCAATGACCTCAACCTCCACTCCCAGTATGGGAGACTTGGTTTTAGTTCTTTCCTTCTTTCGGAAAGCTGGACCTGTGTTGCTCCCAACCCTGAGCTGTGCCCTTGGGAGGAGACTGTAACAAGCCACAGCATATTCTGAAGTTCCTTCAAACTCACATATTGCCACAATGATATTTTTGTTTAATATACTTCTGATGCTTCTTAGAATAGGGACTAGGTGTGATCCCTTCCCTTCCCTTCCCTTCCCTTCCCTTCCCTTCCCTTCCCTTCCCTTCCCTTCCCTTCCCTTCCCTTCCCTTCCC